TTATGCCACTTCCCTTTTTGTAACTGTTATTGCAACCGTATGCAACACATGAATTTGGCATTTTCGATTCTGCCGTCCATTCAATTAGGGAAATCCTGTGAAGTGTGAGTAGCAGAAGTTTCCCTTATCAGTAATGGCGGCCGCCGCTCCACGAAATCACAGCGATTGGACGGAGTCCGCCCTCTAGGGGTCTAATATATAACTCTATGGGCTGGCCCGAGTAGACCCAGGTTAACTTGGGGAAGCAAATCGAACGCACTGCTAGTACTGCTGTGCCCACCTGGCGGCGCCACTCGCATATCTACCAGAGCGCCATCTGTGGCGTTATCTTATTTGAATAAAGTTAGTTCCTGTTCCGGTATAAACATGTGTTGATCTCTTTGATAAGTTTCTGATATAAGTCCAAAATAGTCATGACCACAGATCACGACAACTGGCGACGAGGATGCGCGAAGTAGAGTAGTCGGTTGTTTACCTTCTACACCAAGGATGTCCCTGTGGGAGCCCAGTGTCGACTGGAAATGGACAGTTGAGTTGAACCCATGCTGCCAGTCGCAACAATTTCCTTTGTTCTCTCTCGTGTGCGCTCAAGTGCGCTCTCGTGTCGATGATTGCCACTTGCTCAAGGGTTGAACTGCCTCTTTCTAACAGGTTTCCCAAGTGAACTGTTGTGACTGTCACTGCCGGTGTGTCACTGTTACTGTTAGTCTTGTGTGTAAGAGACAGTCAAGTGTGTGGGCCCCACAAAATTAAGTAGTCATCTGTCATGTCCATTCCGAGTCTCATCCCCCCACCCCCATTTGATGTGGACAATGATCCTCAGTCCACAGCCCAGCGTTGGGAGAAATGGATCAAGCGTCTCGACATCTACCTGGAAGCAATGGGGATTGAGTCAGACAAACAGAGGAGGGCGATACTCTTGCACACAATAGGCGACCGTGCGTACGACGTGTTCTGTACGCTGGAAGAGACCGGCAAGAGCTACGCAGAGGCAAAGAAGAGCCTGAGTGAGAAGTTTGCTCCAGAAATCAACGTTGAATACCCAAAATTTATTTTCCGTCTCCTCGTACAGGCTGATGGTGAAAGCATAGATTGCTTCAAGCAAATGAAGCTCAGGCAAGCAGCCGAGCTATGCAGGTTCCCAGAGGGCAGTGTCGAGTCCGAGATCAAGTCTCAGTTGATTTCCGGATGCAGCTCCGCGAAGGTGA